ACAAACATTGAGGTAAATAATCAATATATCTTTTTATTTGTTAATCTGATATATAAATATAAATTCATTTCAATATATATATATTGTCTTTACTAAATTATATAATTAGATTACTGAAATAAAGTGTCAGAAAGAACACAACCATGTTTCAGAACCCGAAGAAATTGCAAAAGCGAAGGTTTTGAATGAAATGAAAAAGACTGCTATACTATCTTCTACGGCCAAACCGAGCCAAATATATGCAGATGCTTTATCGGGGTTAGATGAAGAAGACAGAGCAAATGTAGGCCATAAAGATCACGTGACAAAAACAATTAGAAACCAACGCCGCAAAAATATTCTAATTGAACCATCCAATACAGAATTCGAAATACCAAAAGCTTGGCAGATGAGAGAAGGCAACGAAAATGTCATCATCTACGACAGTGGAGCCAATCCATTCAACCGGATAATTGTTTTTTCAACATTCGTGCAATTACAACAAATGGGAAGAAGTACTAGGTAGTTACATTTTATTTATTTAGGAAGAATGCGGCTTATTAAATTAATTAGTTACTTCGAAATTGAAGTTCCATCTGTAATTAAACCACTTCGCTTATTTTTGATATATATTAACTATTATATATTTGCAGATGGTTTATGGACGGTAATTTTAGCTTGTCTCCAAATATTTTTCACCAACTGTACTTTATTAGAGTTGCCTATCTTAACCATTATGTAACATGCGCCTATGCCCTAATGACATCAAGAAATGAAGAAGTTTTTAGGGCAATTAAAGATAAGGCGCAAGAACACAACATAATTTTGGCTCCAACCACTGTTATGTTAGACTTCGAAATTGCCCCCAGACGTGCCTTACATGATATCTTCGGTGCAAACGTAGAAGTTGTAGGATGTTTTTTCCATTTGACACAGTCAACATGGAGAAAGGTATAGTTGCATGCTTTGTTAACTATTTTTAATCAATTGTCATTTTGCCTGTTTGAATGAAATTTTGCTATGGATTTTTTATTTTTTATTTATTTGTTATCTCAAATTCAGATAGCAGAGCTAGGTCTAACAACCATTTACAAAGAGAGGGATGATGTTAGACATTTTGTTGGCATGCTAGATGGCATTGCTTTCTTGCCAATAAACCGTTTGTATGATGCCCTCCAACACCTAGAAAGGAATATTCCAGATGTACCCGGACTAGAAAATCTTTTCATTTATTTCGATAAAACATATGGTAGAGGGCCCTTCACGAACAACAACAACAATAATAATATCAACCAAATTAGGTTGATCCGAATGCCTGCTCTATTTCCG